TTTTAAGAAAAAAGGAAAGTAAACGTTGAAAGGAATCAAAAGTAACTTTTATTTCTCTCTTTTATTTCTTAGGGAGCATCATCTATCTCTTAAAAGGAAAATACTTTGTTTCATTGCCCGGTAAGAGCCACTCTCCATCCCGGACAAATCAAATTTTTTTTGCACATATAATGTGAATTGCATGTAATGAGCCAAGTAGTGTACTTACAAACTGGGATTTTTCAGGTTTCAAAACCGAAGGCTCGGTTGTTTGGAAACAACAATCACTTTCCCAAAAAGTGTGCAATTATGATCACGAAAATCTTAATTTCATTTAGTAAAAGTAGATATAATGACTTATCAGCGAAGAACAAAAGGCCACAACAACCAATTCATGTGTTGAAGTAACAGTATATCTCACCCCAGAACAGGGAATAATCAAAGTAATGGATCCTAAAAAGGAACACTGGAAAAAATTACAAGAGCACTGATAAGTAGCTTAACATCCCCCGTCGTAACGATGCTGAGCAGCAGCCACTTCAAGAAGCTAAATTTAGACCCTTTTTGAAAATCTATTACTCCCTCGATGTACTTCTAACCAGTTTTGGTTTTTGGGGCCTTCTTTTTGAGTTGCCTCTTTGGAATTGAGTTCTTCATCCCTACAAAGAAAAGCAGGGCACCAAAAAGTGCTGCGTGCTGCAAACGAAATTACAATCTCATCAAATTACGCTCTAAATTACATGGATGAAAAACATATCAAGCAATAAGCAAGTGTATACAATATACAAACCTGCAAGAAATCATTCAGGAGTATGCCAAATTTGGTGTTGTCAGGACTGTAGTTGTAGAAGTCATAGATAAGTGGAGTGGTAAACGCCAATTGTAGAAGCTGCAACAGAAACATTACATGTGTCAAGAATATACGGTAACCAACAACTGAAACACAAATTTGATCACCATTTCTTTACATTTCGAAAGCAATTGATCAAAAACCAAGAAAGAAGGGAATCCTAACCAGGAGACAAGCTCCAAAAGAACTGTTAAGTATGAATAAAATGCCTCCAACCCCTTTTAGAGCTACCGTAGCAGCAGCTAAATGTTTAACCTGTAAAAGATATTCCCATGTCAAAAGCCAAAATACCGCATGAGCAACATGAACATAGGATAGAATCAAGAAACTGCATATAAAGAAATAAAGAGACTTACATCTATATGTGGTAGTTCAACCCCTAGTTTCGAAGACAGATTTTTCTTGAATACATTAAATTTGGGAACCAATTCCTTGGCAGCAGGTCCACCATCAACACCAAATTCATTGAACCTGAATATACAGATGTTACATCAACACAAATGAATACAATATCGTTTTAAACATACCAAAGGGTAACAGACTATTTACAACATAAGCAATAAGCTACAAGACATGCACAAATCTTGAAAGATGGCACACAAACGGATGTTACAGAGCAAAGCAACAGGAGATACTAAACCTTTTACAATATTAATGATCACTACAACCATTAAACAAAAAAAAGAAAAAGAAAAAGGAAACCAGGTTTTTAAATTAAATTTATCACCCAAAGTGTTCATCCATGATCTAAATAGAAATTGTTTCATCCAAAACGAACTAAAGAGACTGCCAAACTAGATCCCACCTATACACACGTGGATGTTTTTGACATTAACAAACACTTGAAATACACATTTCAAATAAACTAGCATTTAGGAAAAAGAAAAAAATATTCTTCACAAGTATCTAAATAATTAGACCATAACCCATTTCGTTGTACGTCGAAAGAAAGTTTCAAAGTTCCATAAACAAGGACCAGACAAGGAATAGACAACCACCACCCTTTTAAGATACGCGAATAAGTTCACTTTGTGTCGAAAAAAGTTATTCTCAACCCAGCTTATTAAAACATTCAAAAGATCATTAGATCTTCACAATTCAGTCAAGCACCTAACTTTAGAAGTGCCATGACCAATTGAAACAGCAGAGATTTGGAAAATCAACCCACAACTGGATCTCAACCAGTTCTTTACAGTAAAGCCAGTAGGAAGTAGCAACAATCATCTAAACATTAAATTTCACAACGCTTATTTCAGAAAGCAATAGATTATTGTCACTAAAATCTCACTTCAAACAAGCAAACACACACACACACACATATATAACATCGCAAGCATATTACTAAAATCTCACTTCAAACAAGCAAACACACACACACATATAACGTCGCAAGCATATTATTTAAATCGGAAATTGAAATACAGGGCGAAAAAATAAAGTACAAAATTTTGAAAACAAATGAACTAAAAGAATGCTTAATAATAAACTAGATCAGAGAAGTATAAACAAAACAAATATGCTAGAGTAAAAGGTAAGACAAAAAGGGAAAAGAGTAAAGAGGTGAACTTGAGAGGGAAGCCCTAATCGAGCAGATCTGAGAGAGAGAGAGAGAGAGAGAGAGAGAGAGAGAGAGAGAGAGAGCTTACGCTTGCCAAGCAGAGAGGATGAAGATGGAAGCGAAGAGGACGCGACCGAGGAAGGAGACGAACCCCATTGTTTTGCAGAGAAGGAGAAGAAGAAGGAGAGAGAGAGTTCTTGAAAGCGATGGAGTTCGAATCGTAGGTCTGCTTTGCCTCCGAGGGGGTAGTCGTTGGGTCTTAATTTAAAGAATCAATTTTGAAGGCCCGAGACTTGAGACTTGAGACTTAAGACTTAATAAGGCTAGGCGGCCGGACAGTAAATCCGATTTATTTATTATTTTTGGGTTTTGACAAAAACAATATGGAATCTGAATCCGAACTGGACAAGGCCGTGGACTTTGACCCGACTACACCTACCTGGTATTTTCACTTATGAAGTTGAAGTGTTTCACAAGTAAGAAGTCATTTTATGTTCCAACAAAAAAATAAGAAGTCATTTTATGTGACCCTAATTTCTTTTCTATCAATTTACTTTTCAAATTTTTGTTTTCACAACATTTTTTGATTGGGTCTTAACAAATTTTATTTTTCAATTTTTAAAAACGTAAAGGAGTTTATGTTATAAAATAATTTAGATCTCCACTTAAAAAGCAGCGAGAAGTCGTACGACTTCAAATCTTTTAATTCTTCTGAATATGATATTGCCTCGCCATGTTGCCATTCTTAATGAGGACTAAGAATAATTTTTAAGTTTCAGTAATCATTCATAATTATAGATAAACTCAATATAAGAAGTAGGTTATAAGAGAAGTATTCTTTTCAAAATTTAACTGTAGATGATAATAATATACTTCCTTTAGCGGCATGTTTACTTTTTGTTAGTTTCTCCTTTTGCAACTTTTTTTAGTGGGATATTTGAAGTTATAGATATAAATACGTACTCACATATAAGCACATTCATTGTATTGTACAACCAAAAAACACATCACATACATTGCAAATGGACCATATGAGATTAATTAGTTGATAATAAACTTTTTACAATGTAAAATGTCAATGCTATCTTTTAAGGGAGAAATAATATGGAAAACATAGTAAAGGTTAGAAAAAAGTATTTGTTGGATTTCCCGTTTTGGTCAATGTGGTTTCAATTCTAGTGTTTTGAGCCATGTAATTTGATATTCCTAGGAATTTAAGGACACATCTAAAATTTCATTTAATTTCGTGCATGAGTAAGCACGTGTCCCTTACGTGGAGGGGCATTTTAGATTGAATTTGATGGAAATTCGAATGTGTTGTTATATTGTGATAAATATCAAACTACATGAGTCAAATCGCCAAAATTAAAACTACAAAGAGCAAAATGAAAAATCCAGCAAATTACAAAGACTACAAATGACTTTGTCTCTCTCTACACGTTGGTTGGACAAGGAAATTAATATTGAGCACTGAGTAGCATATGATTTGCCTTGATCTACTTGTTTTCATTTTGAACTTCACTGATCCTTTGAGTTGTCTTCACGTGCACTTGCATAGCTCCTACATGAGGTCATTGAGGTGGGCGGCGGCAACATATTAGATCTGCAGTTTGCATAATTGTATATTTAAAACAACAACAAAGAAAAAGAAAAATGAAGAGTGCAAGATGGTGTAAAGAAACAATATTCTCAAGTCAGTCGTGCTAGCTAACCTCTCTCATTTTGTCCATCTTCATATAATTATTTTATTAAAGATTTGAAAAGACTCTCCAATACATGCATTTTGTGATACAAGCGGAAATGAGAGTTTTCTCACACATACAATGCAAGTCAAGATCCTTTCTATTGTGGCTAGACCCGTGAGCGCGAATACATGCATTTATCCAAGTCTTTTTGCCAAAGTTATCTTAAGCAAAAATGATTTTATTTATTTATTTATTGCAGCTAGATGGGCTAAAGATTAGGTGACAAAAGTTGTTCTAACATAAATGATAGAACCAAATGTTAATAAAGAAAAAAATAAATCCCAGTGGTAAAGGAAGATAGAAAAACCCACATGGCAAGAGCACTTTAATTTAAATTTTAAAATGTTCAAAAAAAACAAAAACAAAAAAACATTAAAATGGACAAGAACACGCTCAGGGGCACCAGTGTAAAATTCCAAGCCAAAAATCAAAATCACAGAAGTAGCAATCTCAATACTCTCTGGATCTACGACATCACGAACACTCGCTTTTCAAAACCGCCACGAACGCCACGGTGGGCTCCAGTACGAGAAACCACAAGCCAAATGATTGGTGAGTTAACGTGTAGGCCTGCCGGTCCCGAATCGTCACTAACAATGCGCGAGTACATCACTCGCGCAAGTATTATTAGTTCGATTCGAATGGTATCCAACGACCGCTTTACTCTTTTAAATTTTTCGAACGCGTACATCTGTCCCTCTCTTTACGACGCCGTTTCCTAGATCTACTTCCCCCTTATCACTATCACCCCTGTCCGAGTTCGTTTTTCTTGCATCGAAAATTCGAAACTTTGTCTGAGAGTCGGGCCCCAAAGTCTCGAGTCTCTGCCGCGGCATCGTTTCGGTCTCTTCCCGTACAGACACCAGACATGGCCTTCATTTCGTTCGTTGGAAGGCTTCTCTTCGCTTCTGTCTTCCTTCTCTCTGCTTGGCAAGAGTGAGCCCAGATCTGTGTCTCTCTGTGACTGCTCCGTGTCTATTTTTATTGAAAAAAAGAGAGAACTTTAAAGTTGAAGTTTGAATTGGGCAAATCTGAAATGGAATTTTAGTTGATGATGTATGTTTTACCTTTCATAATCTTGCTGCCTGCAGGGAACCCACTTCATTTTAGGCATGATTTTTATGTAATTTATTGTTTGTTAGCTTTTGAATTGGCAGAAGCAAAATCAAGTTTGTGGGTATTTTTGATAGCTTTGCTACTTTTTTTTTCCTTTCAAAAAGTTGGTTATTTTTCATGGTGAAGCATGCATGCTTAGATCCAAGTAACTTAAAGAACAAGAGCTGTGTGACATGATCTGATTTATGCATATTTCAATTCTTTGAATGCACTTTGATTTTGATGGAGTTTAACATGTTTTGATTTGATAGAGCATGAGATTGTAATATGTTACTTGATTTTGATGAGACACTTCATATTTGTTTCTATTTATAGGTTCAGTGAATTTGGTGTGGATGGCGGACCCGCAGCCAAGTCTCTGAGACCCAAGTTCGATATTTTCTGGAATCATCTATCAACTCACACTGGTTTGAAAGAGCCCCAACAATTTGAAGTGAGAAATTTTAAATTTTTTTGTTTTAATTCAATAACTTCTTATTTGTATACAACCCAAGTGAATTTTGTACTTTGTTAATGGCAGATCCAACATTTATTGGCGGCCACAATAGCCTTGAAGGGCATCGGGGGTCTTCTCTTCATCCTTGGTTCTTCTCTTGGAGCCTATCTGCTGGTTTGTATTTTGTATAATTGACTTGGTCGTCTGGGCCTGTCTTTGTTTTGTACCTGTAGACCAACATAGTTTCTGAAACACGTGTTTCAATATATTTTTGTGCAGCTTCTGCATCAGGCCATCGCCACTCCTATCTTGTACGACTTCTACAACTATGATCCTGAGAAGACCGAATTCAATCAACTTTTCCTCAAGTTTACCCAGGTTGGAAATCAAGATTCCTTGCTCTCTTTCTCTCTCAGACACATTTCTAATGTTTGTAGTTTAGTCCTAATTTGACTGTCATGCCTATAATTTAGAACTCGACAAATATACCCTCTTAATTTTCTTAACATTTCAATTTTGTCCAAATTAGACATTTTGTCAAACATGTATAAGTTACTCAACAACGAGGTCAAACCATATGGATTAAAGTGGGATCAAACCAAAATTATAGGGATGAAATTTGCTGTTAAAAATTGCTGGCTCGCTAATGCTCGACGAATGATGAAATGTCTGATTTAGACGAGTTTGATATGGTTAAAATGGTTACTTTTGTTAAGTTTTAAACTACAGGAGGAAGGTTAATTGGATCAAACTTCAAGATGGAAAAAGTCCCTAATATTGATATTTCACCTAATGAGGGTGATTCTTTTTCTTTTTGGAAATTAATGAGGCTGATTCTTGGCCTGAGAGTGAGGTTGCCCCGTTATGACTTGGATTCTCCCTTAGCCTTAGGTTAGATTCTTAGAAGCTGCTTGCACAAGGCTGCCTTTCTTTATTGACATTAGGGATCTAGTGTACAATATGCTTAGACAATAGTATGGGGCTTAGATAGGCATATTATATAAAAAGCTAAAACCAAAGAAAAAGTTTCAAAATCATTATTAATGATTTCCTTTTTTATGATTTGCAGAATTTGGCATTCTTTGGGGCTCTGCTGTTTTTCATAAGCATGAAGGCGTCGATACCAAAGAGGCAACTCAGAAAAAGAGCTCCCAAAGCAAAAACTACATGAGGATTGAGGAGGAACCTTAGATGATGCGAGGGTTTAGTTTCTGACTTCACCTGACTGTTCCCCAAGGAACTAGGTTGTATGCACGCATCTGTCTGTACTTGAGTCTCGCTTTTCAAAAATTTAGGGAAACATTTTAGTGGAAAGAAGGGTTTTTTGTTTATGTTGAGCGGTAGTGTTCTATTTTAGCTGAGCTGGTTTGTTAACGTTAAGAAATATTACATTATTATTGGTATTTATTTCTGCTGGTGATATCACTTGTTAATGTACGGTGCAACTTTTCTTATGCTCGGATTTGAGAACTTCAATTAGTTACTTGCCATCTTGCTCATTGCACTTGCAAGATCTCGGTTGTGCATATGCTCATTGCTACATCATTTGGTGAATAAATTTTATCAGCCGGCCGGTTTCATCTAGCTGCGTTGCTGGTACCCCAGTCCTTGTTTCACATTGGGTCTCCGATATGGGCCAACCCAAATAACCATATTGGGACATTAATTGAAAATTTGAAACTAGTTTCGACTAGAGGGTGGTTCCCTTACTTAAAAAGGATCTAGGTAGGGAAGGTTGATCCATTCAATTTTGGGATCTCACCGGCATGGCCTTACTATCAGCAGTAGTACTAGTCAGTAGTCAGTAGCCAGTAGCCAGTAGCCAGTAGCCACAGCCCCACGATCCCATAGTTACGATGGCTGGCTGTATCATTCATTGCTCTTGCTCTTGTCATAGATGCCGTTGGAAAAAGGATTCAATCAAACTCAAAGTAGTTGATTGTTGACACAGTGAAATAATGCCTCAGACATGGGTTTATTTCAACTCCCATGCCATGGATGTTGTGCATGCAGGAAATGAAATGACAAATGGGCTGCATAATTTGTCATCCTAAGCCCAAGTCAAAAGTTGGGCTTGTTAATCTATTTATATAAAGGGAGACTACCTTAAAACAGATTGTCATTAGTTAATGAAAATGTCAAAAGGATACATTAGTACATTCACAATCTGTATAAAACGAATTAAATAAAAGAGAAAAAAAATAACATGTTATGTAGTTGACCATAAAACTGGGACACCTCCAAAACTGTAAAGCATTTTGGATACATATTTTATTATTATAAAAGAAATGTTATTTTATTTATATTTAAAAAGAAAAAAAAAAAAAAAAAAAAAAAAAAAAAAAAAACTAGCTAGAGTTGAGTAAGGGTCTAACCTATTGTGATCTAACCTTGTTCCATCTATTCTAACCCCTTAATTGAATTGGGTTGCAACTTGTATCAAATGAAAGAATTAGTATGTGTCAAGATGATATCACTTTTTGCTATTTCAGATTAATAACACAATGATAGATGTGGTAACTTTTTACATGTCATTGTGTTATTGGCTGGTGTGCTATTCCAGTTACAAGACAGATTTTTTTTCATCTAACTGCCATGCCATGGATGTTAATGTGTATGCAAAAAGAGAGTAGGATTTTACCACTCATTGATCATAATGCTCAAAATAGAAAGTTCTATCCAACTAGTAATTCATATGGATTGGCCAAAAAAAAAAAATTAGTAATTCATATCGCCACAAGTTCAGGAGTTGCTCCATCAAAAAGTCTAAGGTATTGTCCTAAAAAAGCAGAATATGAGGTATTAATTCAGTTGTAGATTAGGCCAGTTGATCAGGATAGTGAGTCCATATCTTTGCACTTAATTTTTGAAAACCATTTTCGTAAATTATATCAATTTAGAATAATTTACACAATGAGTTATATTTTAATATTGTGAAAAGAAATAAAATAACATAAAAAAATTGAAAACCAAACTTACACAACCCGCCCCTGCTTTACACCGCCACATTCCCCACCTCTCTCCTGACCCTCTCGCCACCTTCTTCTATCCCAGCCACCACCTCTCTCTCCGGATTCACCCCACCCCAACCCTTATCTCTCTCTCTCTCTCTCCTCTCACTTTTGATTGTAGCTGGTGTGTGTTGTGGCTACTCGAATGCTGGGTCAATATTTGCTCAAAGAACCAATTTTGGTTGAGCTCGTGGCTATGGTAGCTGGCTTGCGGGTAGAATTTGTGTCTCTGGTTCATTGAATTTGTGTGGCCTGTAAAGAATTTGGGCATGTTCAGCTATAGAATCTATCAAACTCTCTTGAAGATTAGCCTAATTTAAGCAATGCGGTAGCTTCAAGGGCATTTCAATGGCGGACTCGATTTCATCAGTGTGCAATTTAGCGATTCTCGACAAACTCAGCGATGGCTCCATCGAAGAAATCCTCGAAAGCTACAATGGCTTCTGTGCTGCTACGGACACCCTTCTAAACGGCGCCGGCGACCTCTCCGTCGGTCCGCAGTTCGTATCTCACGTTCACGGCCTCTGCAAGCACGGGCTCGAGTCTCTGCTCCGAGACCACTTCCTTGGTGCGCTGGAGCGAACCTTCGAGAAAAATGGCGCCTTGAAATTTTGGCGGCATTTCGAGGTTTTCAACGACGTTTCGGTTGAAGAGGAAGTGTTCTATAACGCTTTGGAAGAAATATCTTTGGAAAAGCAGTACCAGGAGAAGTGTCTGTTGATTCTGGTTCATGCTTTGCAGTCTTACAACCATGGAAGCCATGATTCTAATGATTACAGAGTTGAGCTGTTTGCTAAGTACCAAATGTCAGTGTCTTCAGTTCTTATGGCCACTCTTCCCCGGCATTTTCCTGGTACAAAAATAAATAAATAAAAGATCTTGACTTTCAATTTACATGTTCTTTTGTTTGTTTGTTTTAATTTGTAATTACTTGCGTTTATTTTTAATGCTCTCCATGTTCTTAATTCTTAGAGATACTCCACTGGTATTTTAAGGGAAGGTTGGAGGAACTGAGTACTATAATGGGTGGAGACTTCCCGCATGATGATGATGATGATGATGATGATGATAAAGATGATATGGATTTAGATGACAAATGCAAAGCCTCATACAGGAGTGGACAAATGGAGATTGATGAATGCTATCCCCAAGGGAGGTTCTTGGACAACAATAAATTGGTGAACAACATAGGGAAGGTTGTTCGCGATCTTAGAAGTCTCGGGTTTACATCTATGACTGAAGATGCCTATGCTTCTGCTATTTTTTTGTTTCTAAAGGTGATCATTATCTCTGCTGTTGGATTCAGTATACTGTTATATGTTAAACATCCCACCACTTCATTTGTCTTGCTAACTTCTAATTTGTCTTGTTTGAATGGCAGGCCAAAGTTCATGATCTTGCTGGTGATGATTACCGGATTTCTGTTTTGGAGTCCATCAAGGGGTGGATTCAGGTGGCTTTCATATGCTTGTGTTTCATTTCCATTTTTGTGGAGAACTGTGAAGCCGCAAATAACCTCACAAATGGTTTGGTTATCCAATACAGCTTTATGTTTTCAAAGGCTAAAGTTTTCCTAATATTTGAATGTGTGTTCTGCAGGCTGTGCCTCTTCAGTTCTTGCATGCCCTTCTTGCTTATCTTGGTGACTCTGTTAGTTATGACAGTGTTTCATCTGGTCTCAAGTCACCTTTGGCTTCATGTCCTTCTACATTTTATCCTGGAATTGACACCCCATCTGAAGGACTTGTTAGATGGCAGTTGCGACTAGAGTATTTTGCATACGAAACATTGCAAGATTTAAGAATAACTAAATTATTTGAGATTATTGTGGATTACCCTGGATAGGTTTTGGTTTTGGGGGGGGGGGTGTTGGGGGGGGGGGGGGGTGGTGGTTGGGGTGTGTTACAATCACTTAAATAACCTTCATTTATTGTGGCTTTCCTTGATCGTTTGTTTTCCTTTTGGGGTTTTGCAGCTCTCCCGCAATTGAAGATTTGAAACAGTGTCTTGATACACTGGACAACACTCTAAGCTGGTCGAGTCATTTATCTCTGCACTACGATATCGCTTGCTAACTGCAGGTGCCTCAACCAATGACATTTTGCATCAATATGTTTCAACAATTAAAGCACTCCGGACAATAGATCCAGCAGGTGTTTTCCTCGAAGCAGTTGGAGAACCAATTAGGGACTATTTGAGGGGAAGGAAGGACACCATAAAGTGCATCGTGACCATGCTTACAGATGGGACTGGTGGGAATCCGAATGTATCTGGAAACACTGGGGATAGCCTTCTTGAAGAATTAAACAGAGATGAAGAAAATCAAGAGAACGCTGGTCTTGATGACGATTTCCACACTGATGACAAGCAGGCATGGATAAATGCTTCACGGTATGTGTATAAGCAAGGCCGTGGATGAAAGTGTATTATAGTTGTTTGCAAGTTATATGGAAAGTAATTTAGTTGCTTTCAAATCCAATCAGATGCTATATTTTTGTTCTTTGCATACTCAGGTGATGTATTTTTATTTTATTTTTATAATTCTTCTGTTTCAGCTGGGAGCCAGACCCTGTAGAAGCTGACCCCTTGAAGGGCAGCAGGAACCGAAGGAAGGTTGACATACTTGGGATGATTGTTGGCATAATTGGTTCAAAAGATCAACTAGTTAATGAATATCGTGTTATGCTGGCTGAAAAGCTTCTCAACAAATCTGACTATGACATCGATACAGAGATACGCACTCTTGAACTTCTCAAGGCAAGTGGTTTTTTTATTCTTTGTTTAGTTGGGTGTATTGGTTGTTCATGTAGTCTTCAAACTGTCTACCTTAATGTTCATAATTTGTAATCATTCTTCAGATACATTTTGGGGAGAGCAGCATGCAGAAATGTGAAATTATGCTGAATGATCTGATTGATTCTAAGAGGACTAACGGCAATATTAAAGCAACCATAACTCAGACATCTCAAGCAGGTAGCTTCCAAACTTCCCTACAGATGATTGGTTTTTGGGCCATTCTCTCCAGCATTACAAGAAGACTAATTATTTTATTTTATCCCACTAACGTGGGGTGGATGTCTTAGGTTCTGAGCTGGGAGATAACGGGGTTTCCATGGATGTTTTTGATGCAACAATCATCTCTTCAAATTTCTGGCCCCAAATCCAGGTAATGAATTGTTGCCAGTGGTAATGTCATTTATTTTGAAATTTCTGTTAGAGGGAAAAGACGGATCGAGGATTTACATTCTCATAATTTGAAATATCTTCTTGACACACTTCTCTGCAATCAGTGATACCATGCATATGAACATGATTATGTTTAAATGTAATCGCTTGCACTTTGGTTGTTTCTTCTGCATTTAGGAGTGGCTTTAATAGCTTAATGCTCCTCGAGGCCCCCATTAGTTATGATTTCTTGCAAGCATTTTAATTTAATTTAATTCTTTTAAAATTTCCCACCTATTCTATTGATTCACTTAACTTCAGCATTTTCCTTGCCCACTGTTTCTTTCACCAAAGTTATTAGTCAATTGGTGACATATTCTCTGCATGAGTATCTAGGCAACTTATGTTTGACTCTTTCTAAATTGACTAGCAAGAACCTGGTGCATAAACTGATGTCTTTTGTTTTGTCCGTTATAATATATACATCTCATTAGCATTTGTTATTGTCATTAGAACTACATTTTCTATTTGTAACAAAATTTCAGTAAAGGTTGATTAACCTTTAAACCAAATTTCAGGATGAGTCCCTTAATGTACCTGGACCTGTTGACCAACTACTATCTGATTATGCAAAGAGGTTTAATGAAATCAAGACCCCTCGTAAACTATTATGGAAGAAAAGTCTTGGTACAGTTAAGGTAGGCTGCTTACACTGTCATTTCGTGCCTTTCTATTAGGAGAGTTTTGACTTGCTGAGATTTTCTATATTTCCTGAATCACTGAATTGACATTAACAATACTTATGATGGTTGGTGCTGTTTTAGTTGGAGTTGCAATTTGAAGATAGAGCAGTGCAATTCGTGGTTGCTCCTGTGCATGCAGCAATTATAATGCAATTTCAAGATCAGACAAGGTAGCGTCAGAAATATCTTAATGCATTTTATGTTGTTTACTATTTTCTTGCCATACTGATATCTTATACTTTCAGCTGGACCTCTAAGAGTCTTGCAGCTGCAATTGGGGTTCCAACAGACATACTTAATCGCAGGATAAATTTCTGGATAAGCAAGGTATGCTTGATAGACTAATACTTTCGTCTTTCAGATATATTTGTTGTCTTTGAACACAAACCCTAGCATACTTTTGAAAAACCCCAGTTTTGAGTCATCTGTCTTGGTGACAGAGTAAAGAGTATTAGAAACTCTGGATTTCTCAGCAGCAGTGGTTACTTTTACTGATTACAGATTTTTTTTCTTCTTAGTTACCTTTAATCATTTTGAATTTCGAGTTGAATGATATGATGTGTCATTTTATTGTAAAGTCAAACGTTCCCCTTCCTGTCAAGCACCAGCTAAATTTTTTTCAAATGGGTCCTTGTTGTTTATTGAAGTTTTAAGCTTTGGAAGTCAAGAGAAAACTCATATGTTTGCCTCTTTTTTCCTATTGAAGGGAATTCTTGCAGAATCACTTGGGGCAGACTCTGACGACCACGTGTTTACACTAATGGAAGGTATGGTTGACAGTGGTAAAAACGGTGGTACGAATGGAAGCATCGAGGATCTTATAGTTGCTGATGAAGAGGGGGAGAGCTCTGTAGCCTCTGTGGAGGATCAACTGCGCAAGGAAATGACTGTGTATGAGGTATGTGATGTGTGCGAGATTGACCACATCTTGGTATACTTTTAAAATCCATCACAATGGGTTGATTGTTTAGGAAGGATCTACCATTTCATTTTCATACTGGATCTTCTTTTGCTTTCAGTATATTTCCATCTCTAGGTATTACGGCCTTAAGTTCTAGTTTTCCATCTCTGCATCTTCATTTTCATACTGGATCTTCTTTATAAAGACCAAAAGGGGGCAACAAAATTGCTGCTCATGACAGTATCTTCCACATTTTACCAAATTCTCAATAGCTGAAATAATCAAGTGAAGTAGAAATTTAACTCCCTTCTTTTCCCACTAAGGGGAGGGGAAAGGAAACTCATAATTGATAGCTTGCCATTTATAATAACCATGTTAACTTTGTCCACTCTTGAGTATCAATCTCAAATATGTAAACAGATAAAAATGCATGGTGCCATTGTGTTCTCAGCTTTTCAAATGGTATTTGGTTTTTGGCAGAAATTTATCTTGGGGATGCTCACAAACTTTGGAAGCATGGCATTAGATCGAATTCATAATACTCTCAAGGTAAGGATGATTTTAACACTCCCCGTGATATTTGGTTTCTGCCAAGTAACATGATATCTGGTAAGAAAGTTATATGTCCTGTTGCTGTTTAATAGATTTCTTAACACATTCATTCCTGCAGATGTTCTGCATAGCCGATCCTCCTTATGACAAAACTCTCCAACAGCTGCAAAGTTTTTTAACGGGGCTAGTTTCTGAAGAGAAGTTGGAACTAAGAGATGGAATGTATTTTTTGAAAAAGTAGTCAACTAACAGAATTAGAACCCTACTAATTTTAATAAAAATTATAAAGCTTGGCAAAATGTATTATCCTCGTGCAACTCTTTTTCTTTTCTTTCTGATTCGTTTGAGGGGAAAGGCGAGAGTTGAAGTACAACTCTTTATGCCTCTCTTCGGGTTGTACGAGATATCATTAAAAAAAAAGCCCATATGTTTGATCCTGCAGAACTGAAAATTAAGAGAACAAATGTGAAGCCTGTATCAGAGCATATTGGTGGCTGCTACCCAAATGAGAAGCTTGTTCAGATTATCGCTTGAGAAATTTCATGTGAATAGGGTCTAGCTAAGTGGAAAAAGGCCTTCACTTGTTGATTAGTGTTCTCAGGTTCAAACCCCCATGGGACCTTAGTAGAGTGTGTGAGAAACCTCCATTCTCCTCGTAGTTTAGATTATTGCTTGTATTAACAATAAAAATAAAAATAAAATAGCTATATGTGTTACGAGACGTCTTTCAGTTTTCTTTCAATCATGAAATTTCTCACCTCTAGTTTCAGTGATAGCCTACCAATCCAAAGAATGAATTGGCATTGTATATCCTTTGGCCACCACAAAAATGTCTATAGCGTCAACCCGCCCCCACAGTCTTGACTCTTGGCAAATATCTTGCTTTTAGTTTCTTCCAGCCTCACTCATTTGTGGTCTGAACTTTGGCAATCCATATCTAGTTTGCTAAGCTTTAGTTCTACCATCCTGCATACACAAACGAAAATGGTAGCCACCAGCACAAATGAGGTTCCAAGCATAACAAATTATGACAGAAAAAGTGAAGTAAAAACTTTTGATGACACAAAGGAAGGTGTTAAAGGCCTTGTTGATGCTCGGATAACCCAGGTTCCAAGAATTTTTCATCAACCAGTAGATCAGTATCCCATCAACAACACTTGTGATTCAGAACCCACCAAAACCCAGCTCAAAATTCCAGTCATAGACCTGGAAGGCCTTGAATATGATAACAATCCGACCAAACGCAAGGAGATTGTTGCCAAAGTTGGAGAGGCATCAGAGACTTGGGGTTTTTTCCAAATTGCCAATCATGGCATACCTGTTGATGTTTTGGAAGAGATAAAGAATGGGGTACGTGGGTTTTTTGAGCAAGACACTGAGGTGAAGAAAGAGCTTTACACTCGTGATTACTTCAGACCTGTGATCTACAACAGCAACTTCGATCTTTATAGTGCACCGGCGACTAATTGGAGGGACTCTTTTTTGTGTAATATGGCTCCTAATCCTCCTAATCCAGAAGACTTGCCACAAGTATGCAGGTATGTGACAAGGAAGCTTATAATTTTCTGGTTTAATATGATATTAGGCTCCATTTCCATGGAGGGATTCCGAATCTATGAATTTAAATGACATTATAAGGTAAAATTGTTTGTATAGACTATTACAATCCATATATGCCGAGATTTGAACAAGAAAGAAAGGAAGAAAATAAATGGATTTCAAATGATTCCTTCCATATAGTCATTTCAAATGTCTAGTTATTTAGAATACATTCAATCTAATGTAGTTCTTGTTTTTTTCAAGCAAATTTAGCTTTGTTGTCAAATCTAAGCCCCTTCTTTCAAATCCCTCCATCCAAACATTGTAGAGACATACTTGTTGAGTACTCCAAGCAAGTAATGAAGTTGGGGAAGTTGTTGTTCCAGTTGCTGTCTGAGGCGCTTGGGCTGAAGCCAAGTCACTTGAACGACATGGATTGTAGTTTAGGGCTTCAGGTTCTATGCAATTACTATCCCCCCTGTCCACAGCCAGAGTTAACTTTGGGCGCAAGCAAGCACACTGACGATGACTTTATCACAGTCGTTCTGCAAGATCATATTGGTGGTCTTCAAGTTCTTCATCAGAACAAGTGGATTGATGTACTTCCTGTGCCTGGGGCTCTAGTGGTTAACATTGGAGATCTTCTACAGGCAAGTATAACTATAATTCTTATTCCTCTTTTATATTTTGTAGGAGATACAGTTGGGTTCTTTTTTAATTAAAAAGGTACTATTACATTATGATTGCACACATGTATTAGGTTGTCCAGAATGTGAGGAAAACTTTCATAAACCAGGATATATCCCGGGAATAGGGAATTTTTTAAATCTATGTTATAATGTCTTGTTGTTTAAAATTTGAGAAAAGTTTCGGCAGTGTAGTAGCATGCTGCATGGCCTCATTTTAGTTTCCGCATAAAGCTTCCCACCGTCCCGCTGTTATAGTCATTAGAATATGGCTCAAATTCTTCAATTTAGTTTCCTAGTTTGGGTTTTCTGATATTGAATTCTTTTGGACTTTCAGCTTATATCAAATGATAGATTCAGGAGTGTAGAACACAGGGTATTGGCAAATTGTGCCGGTCCAAGAGTATCTGTTGCGAGTTTCTTTACCACAGGTTTTTTAGCATTGCCACAAATCTATGGACCCATTAAGGAGTTGCTATCAGAAGACAATCTTCCTAAGTACAGGGAGACAACTGTGAAGGAATATAATGCTTACTTCTATAACAAAGGCCTTGATGGGACCTCTGCCTTGACTCATTTCAAGCTCTGAACTTGAAGGCATAGGAGCAACTGCAATGAACAAATGGTGTCTACCAAATAACTTGGCATGAAAATATTGCTTCATACACAATACTAAGTTGATTGTTTGTTCATGCCTGATGCAGGACATAAAGTCAAAGTTATAAAGTTAGATAATTGTATGGTTATAGTACATTGGTTGTTTATAATCTGTTGTGAAATATTATGGCTTTCCAATAAAAGTTGTGAAGGTTTTCAGCTCTTTTTACAAACTTCCTTAAAATCTCTCTTCTGGATATAAACCTTCATGCTAGCCAACTGAAGCAGAATTTTTTTCTTTAACAAAAGCAGAATTCTGAGCATTATTTGTCTATACCTGTTTATAATATACGAATACGAGTGCTTTACTACTATTGACCAACTTGAAGTCTTGAAGATTTTTTTTTGTTTTTTTGTTGATACAACGATAGGCTACTCTAAAGGGAGGGGGGGCTCAAGCACCAATGTGCACACATGGGGTTTCGAATGGGGGTGCCATGTGGGGAAGGGGGAAGTCACCACCACTGTGGTAGAACCCGTTGGCAAAAAGTCTTAAAGTTATTAGGATCAAACATAGATATATGTTATTAAAATTTTATAATCAATATCATATTTCCATATAGAAAGTTGAATTGTATAATATTATCTGTCTGTACTTTGAATTGTTAACCCAAAATGAATATATTAATGTGAAAAAAACAACTCTGCTAATATATTATAAAGTACTTTGAATCATAATAATTTAAATTTGGCATTATCCTTGGCCTATGGTGTTGGAAAAATATTGTATCCGCTAGAACATTAAGCTTTAGCAGCAACCAAGATGGTAGGTACCAATACAAATGAGGTTCCAATCAATTATGACAGAAAACGTGAACTAAGAGCTTTTGATGACACCAAGGAAGGTGTTAAAGGCCTTGTTGATGCTGGGATAACTGTGGTTCCTAGAATTTTTCATCAACCACCAGATCAGTACTCCACCAACAACAACTTTGATTCAGAAGCCACCCAGTTTAGCGTTCCAGTCATAGACCTTGAAGGCCTTGAGTTCGATAGACCAATGAAACGCAAGGAGATTGTTACAAAAGTTGGAGAGGCATCAGAGACTTGGGGATTTTTTCAAATTGTGAATCACGGAATACCTATTGATGTTTTGGGGGAGATGAAGGATGGGGTACGTGGGTTTTATGAGCAAGACACTCAAGTGAAGAAACAGTTTTATACTCGAGATCACTTCAAACCTGTGGTCTACAATAGCAACTTTGATCTACACAGAGCACCAGCGACTAATTGGAGGGATTCTTTTATGTGCTACATGGCTCCTAATCCTACTGAGCCAGAAGACATGCCAGAAGTATTCAGGTATGTGACATGGAAACTTATAATTCTCTGCTATCATTAGAAAGTTTATGATGGTATTAATTAATTTGATTCAGATACGAATCACCCATCTAGGTTTTATATATATGGGTAGACAGCATCACCAAACAAATGGTATTCTTGTGCTGAGTGGCATGCACCTAGCTAGCCCATGACAAGTGGTATTAGAGCAGGCCTGGTTCCTTATCTGTTATGGCCTGTGACGAAGCTGTATCGTGTCCGGGAGGGGTAGAATGTCCCAAACAAGAATCCCATATTTTAAATAAGAATGAGCTTAATCCAAGGTTTATACATGAGTAAGTAGGTGACATCTGACAGTAGGCCATTTGCCTTTTCTAAACATAAATCAAAAGCCGTTCAGCTCATCATTTTGGTTAAATGCCTGGCTCTACAATTTTTAATTGAATCATATATATATGACAACTTCATGTGCTTTTCTGTGTTTCAACTTTTGTAGAGACATACTTATTGAGTACTCCAAGCAAGTAATGAAATTGGGGAAGTTGTTGTTCGAGTTGCTGTCGGAGGCTCTTGGGCTAAAGCCAAGTCACTTGAATGACATAGATTGTAGTTTAGGGCTTGTGCATGTAGGCCATTACTATCCCTCATGTCCCCAGCCAGAGTTAACTCTGGGGACAAGCAAGCACGCTGACAATGACTTTATCACAGTCCTTCTGCAAGATCATATTGGCGGTCTCCAGGTTCTTCATCAAAACAAGTGGATTGATGTACCTCCTGTTCCTGGGGCTCTAGTAGTTAACATTGGAGATCTTCTACAGGCGAGTACAACTATTCTTCTTCTTCTTCATTGTTTTTTTCTTTAATTGAAAGGGAGATGTTATTTATACTTCTTAAAAGGGAGTAGGCTGTAGTAGTATATAATAGTACCTGAATATGTCTCAAATTCTTCCATCCGGTTTCCTACTTCGGGTTTTTTTCTTGTTCTTTTTAATTTTTTTTAATGGTTGAGTTCTTTTGTGGTTGCAGCTTATATCAAATGAAAGATTCAAGAGCGTAGAGCACAGGGTACTAGCGAACCGTGTAGGTCCAAGAGTATCGGTTGCAAGTTTCTTTAGCACAGGTATGCTACCATTGGGGAGACTCTATGGACCTATCAAAGAACTATTATCAGAAGACAACCCCCCAAAGTACAGGGAGACAACTATAAGGGAATATAATGCCCACTTCATTGACAAAGGCCTTGATGGGACCTCTGCCTTGACTCATTTTGAGCTTTGAACTAGGAGATAGAGGAGCAGTACAGCCCTGAACAAATATTTATCAGCCTCTTCTTTAAATTTTCATAAAATTTCTCTGTTGTGGTTAGATAATAATGTTCATGCAGTTGTTAAATCATGTTTGCCAACAAAAGTGGATTGTTTGTACATGCCTGATGCAGGACATATGTCAAAGTAATTAACATAGATATCTGTCTCGGCCTGCTCATTGTAAAAGTGTATTGGGAATATTTGGACTTCTTTTTTATGTCTTGTGCTCATTGCAAAGTTATATTCTTTGCAAAAATATACACTTCTGATCTGAATCATATGTATTTAGTCTGATATCCACTAGAAATTTAAGCTTTACCAGGAACAAAAATGGTAGCTTCCAATCCAAATGAGGTTATGTTGGAGCAGGATTTATTTCAGGAAGAAATACCTCCACTGTCACATTCCGAGATCGGCTCCGCCGTAGCACGATATTGTCCGCTTTGGGCCCCCCTCTCTGCCATCACGGTTTTGTTTCTAGGAACTTACGAGCAACTTCCCAATGGGTCACCCATCCTGGGATTGCTCTAGCCCCAACTTGCTTAACTTAGTTCCCATGACTCCGAAGTCAGTAGGCTCTCAAAAGGCCTCATGTTAGATGGAGGTGGGCATGTACATATAAGGTACATCACCCCCTTGCCGTTGTTCGATGTGGGATGCTACATCCACGAGTTCTTGACAGAAGTCTGCACACTTCCTTAGTTGAAAAAGAACTCCTGATTGCGTTCCCGAGAACAGACGATGAAAATGGGGTGAGTATCTGCAAAAGCCACTCCGATGCTCAAGTCAGTGTTTTTGCAGCGGACTCTTAGTGCTCAATTGAATTTCTCGTACTTTTGCTGGAGGTCTAATTGGGTTTTTATAGTGCTTCAAGTCCTTGGGTTTAGAGCCAATTCCCTAGCTTTGCGCATTCCATCCTCCACTTCATGGTAATGGGGTTCAGATGATCGGGCTGTGTCTCCTTCACTTCACACTTCTCTAGTGGGAGTGAAGTTTGATCATTCCATGTCTTTTAATCATAGCATATGGGTTAAGCCATGACACGTGAGATTTGGTCCCCACATTTCCCCTATTTTTTCCTCTCTACACACTTCGCGGGTGGAGAGGGAAAAATAATTTAAGTGGGATTTAGATTCCTTCAGATTGAGCGCATGATGTCATGATGGGTTCACGACTGAACCCAAATAAACAATTCTTTTTTCTTTCTTGGGCTTGTTGTTCAAACACAAAGAAATAATTCCCATTGCACCATTGCCAACCCATGTTGACCTTTCATGCATTTTTATCCTTGCTTTCATATCCCGCATGTGAGACCTCCAAATATGGATTTTTCATGCACATTGTTGACCTTTAAAGTTTCAACTATGGATTTTTAGTGCTTTAGCCAGCCCCATGTGAAATATCCAATTATGGACAGCCAATCCCATGCGCAAGTGGACATTTTCACTTTATTTTGGATTTTTGCACCTCTGCTGATATCGCATGGTCCAGCAGTTTTGAATTTTTCTCACTCCAGCCGATTCCAAATGGACCCGATGCAAATTTCTCTTATTTTCCCTTTGCGCTTCAGCCGATCTAGTGGACTCCATGCTCTTTGCTCTTATCTTTGCTAACCGATCCCAGATGGACCCTAGCTTTTGGGTTTCTTCCTCTAGCACTTGAGCTGACTCCGAGGACCCCAGCGTATTTGGTTTTCCACTTTGTTTTTCAGCTGATACCGAATGGCCTACAAGTTTGGAATGTTTTTTTTTATTTTTTATTTTTATTTTTTGGTGTGTTTGCGCTTGAGCGGACCTTCCGAACCCCAATGTGCTTGAGCTGACCTCATGGACCTCAACGCCTTCGGTTTCTCAGCTGATCCCAGGAGGTCCATGACATTTTTTTTTCCTTGAGCTTGAGCTGACCTTTCGGACCCCAATGTGCTTGAGCTGACCTTTAGAACCCCAATGTGCTTGAGCTGACCTCCTGGATCCCAGCTCATTTGGTTTCTTAGCTGATCCCATGTGGTCCATGAATATTTTTTTTTGTTTTGCGTTTGAGCTGACCTTCCGAACCCCAATGGGTTTGAGCTCACCTCCTGGACCCCAGCACCTTCGATTTCTCAGCTGATCCTAGTTGGTCCATGACTTTTTTATTTCTTGCACTTGAGCTGACCTTCCGGACCCTAATGCACTTTAGCTGACCTTTTGGACCCTAGTGCCTTCGGTTTCTCAATTGATCCCAAGTAGTCCATGACTTTTTTTTTCTTGTGCTTAAGTTGACCTTCCAGACCCCAATGCGCTTGAGCTGACCTCCTGGACCCCAGCACCTTCGATTTCTCAGCTGATCCCAAATGGTCCATGACTTTTTTTTACTTTCTCTCTTGCGCTTGAGCTGACCTTCTGGACCCCAATGCGCTTGAGTTGACCTCCCAGACCTTAGCGCCTTCGGTTTCTCAGTTGATCCTAGGTATGACCCCATCACGAAACGCCATCGAAGCAGTATGAGAATCACATTCCTCAAGAGTAGACATTTCCTCCGTAAAATGCCTCAAATAGTCTTTAAGGCTTTCTTTGATACTTTGCTTCGTGTTGATTAGGACCATGACACCCTTTCTCCTATTTTGAATGAAGATGTATTGAGATATGAACATTTCACAGAGTTGGGTGAAACTACTGATAGGCCTTGATTTCAACTGTCTAAACCAAATCAGGGCCGATCCTGACAAGCTTGAGGGGAACAACTTTCACAACATGGCCTCGTCATCTCCTTCGAGGACCATATGTTGTTGAAAATGATAGATATGTTCAATGAGATCGGTCATGACCTTAAACAGCTTAAATTTAGGTTGAGTGAACTTAGCTGGCTTTTTGGCTTTCAGGATGTCCTCTGTGAACGGTGACTTGCAAATTCCTTTTGCTGCTTTCAAAGCGAGTTTCGCGAGTGTTTGCAGTTTGTACCCTCAGACAATCTTCTCGATCTAATCTAGCAAATCAGTGTCCTTCGCCTTTTTCGCCATTTTCTGTAGGTCGAGATCTATGTCTTGACCTCTTGTCGTGGCCTTGTCACGGACGCTTGAGTGCATGCTGCTGGAGGAGTCTCCCTCAGAGACCTCATGTCTTTACTTTCTCTTACCCTCTTTCGAGCCCTCACAACAAGCCGTGTTCTGCGCCTTTTCCAGAGCTTTCTCTGCTACCTTTCTTGTTTCACGCAATTCTTTCATGATTTTCTTCAACTGGGTAACAGCAAGGCTTGGTTCTCCATCTTGGGCACTAGACCTTGTGCTTTTGAGTCGAAGATTGGACATCGCATTTCCCTGGAGGGATGTGTTTGGAGTTCCTTGTGTAGGTTCAGTCATTCTTTATGATCGATTTTGCAAGATTCCCACAGGCGGCGCCAACTGTTGGAGTAAGATTTCTTTTAGGAAGAAATACCTCCACAAGTACTTGACTGAAGTCTGCACACTTCTTTGGTTGAAAAAGAACTCTGGATCGCGTTCTAGAGAACAGACGATGGAAATGGGGTGAGTACCTGCAAAAATCACTCCAACGCTCAAGTCAGTGTTTGTGCAGCGGACTCTTAGTGCTCAATTGAATTTCTCATACCTTTGCTGGAGGTCTAATATGGTTTTTATAGCGCTTCGAGTCCTTGGGTTTAGCCCACTTCCCTAGCTTTGCGCATCCCATCCTCCACTTCATAGTAATGGGGTTTAGATGACCGGGTTGTGTCTCCCTTGCTCCGCACTTCTCTAGTGGGAGGGAAGTTCGATCATCCCACGTCTTTTAATCATAGCATATGGGTTAAGCCATGACACGTGAGATTTGGTCCCCACAGGTTACAACCAAGTATGACAGAGAAAGTGAACTAAAAGCTTTTGATGACACCAAGATGCTGGGATAACTGAGGTTCCTTGAATTTTTCATCAACCATTGGATCAGTACTCCATCAACAACAACCGTGACTCAGAAGCTACCCGGTTAAGTATTCCAGTCATAGACCTTGAAGGCCTTGAGTTTGAAAGTCCAACGAAACGCAAGGAGATTGTTGCAAAACTTGGACAGGCAACAGGACTTGGGGCTTTTTTCAAATTGCTAATCATGGAATACCTGTTGATCTTTTGGAGGAGTTAAAGGGTGGGATACGTGGGTTTTTTGAGCAAGACACTGACGTGAAGAAACAGTTTTACACTCGTGGGTACTTCAAACCTTTGGTGTACAATAGCAATCCTGATCTATACAGGGCACCGCCCACTAATTGGAGGGACACTTTTATGTGCTACATCATGTCTTTTGGTTTAGTAGGATTAGGAAACTTGAGTTTGATCTAATAGGCTAGTCTTTTGGGTTAAGTGGTAAGTGCTCAGCCTCCAGCGCTTGGGCAAGTACACAGTTGGTTTTTTTTCCATTAACCAAAAGGGAGTATCTTATACTTTCTAAAAGTTGACATACACTCTTTTTACATCAATTCAATGAAAAATTTGGTTAACATTGGAGCTCTTTTGGGGTTGCTTTGCAGCTTGTATCAAACGACAGATTCAAGAGTGTAGAGCACAGGGTAGTGGCAAACCGTGTCGGTCCAAGAATATCTGTGACAAGCTTCTTTATGACAGGTATGCTACCATTGCAGAGACTCTATGGACCTATCAAAGAGTTATGATCAGAAGACAACCCTCAAGTACGGGGAGACAACTATAAGGGACTTTAATGCCCACTTCAATGACAAAGGCCTTAATGGGAGCTCTGAACTTGGAGATAGAGGAGCAAATGCTGAACAAATGCTATTTTCACAGATTTGTTTTATCCTCTGAGATGATTGGTTTGTACATGCCTGATGCAGGACATATGTCAAAGTTATAAAATTGGATTAATTGTATGCTTATCCCATTAGGCATGTATTGCTGGTTTGTAATCTCTTGTAGAGAATTATGGCTTTTCAATAACAGCTGCAAAGGTTTTCATTTCCTTTTTCAAAATTTCATAATATTTATTGTGTTAAATGGAATCCTTTATGTTCCTGCAAATCATATGTTTGTCAACATGTTAGATAGAATCCGTTTTGCAAAAGCTGATTATTTCAACTTTGATATAACAACGAAGTCTGAGAAGTCTTTGAGTTATCAGGATCAAACTTAGATCTGTTACTAAAATTTTATAATCAGTATCACATGCGCGCGGGTAGCAAACTCTGAATATAGTTAACCCAAAATAAATATATTAAAGTGAAATCAACCATGATAATTTGGTCACTGTATTAGGGGAAATCTTGGGTTGAAATTGTGAAGTATAAAGATCACGGATTGATTGATTGTGAACTTACTGTGACTTCAGATGGCAAAAAGACGTAATCAAGATTATAGAGCACCAAAATATATTGGTAAGCTATTGATTTCGTTTAAATTTGGTTTGGGTTTTTTATTTGGCTTTTTAATAGACAACTTTTAAGGTTCTTTTAGAAAGGGGCAAAGTTATTTACCCAACTTTTAAATAGAAAATTGATTGATTCACGTGTTCAGGGCATTTTCATAAGGTTATTATTGGTTGCTCGTGCGTTAGGGAATCTGAGTGTCCTTGGTTTGTGAGAGAAATTTTCCTTGAACATGAGACCAATTTATTTATTTTTTGGTTGAAAAATCCAAAGCCACTTGTGTCTAGAAATATAAACTGTAAACTCTGCAAAATGCAATGATTAATTTGGCTAAATTATTTTTTCAATGATCAAATTGGATTTTTGTGTAGAACTCAGTGACTAAAAAGGTTTTTAACCCAATATTCAATTGCTTCTGTTTTTTTAATTTTTTTTAATTTTTTGCCAAAGTTAAAAAGGAAAGGAGGAAAACTCAGAACACCAAATATCTGGATTAATCCAACAAACACTGCGTTTTAATTCAACTATCACCAAATTACTATTAAACAATTATTACTTACTAGGGAATATTTGGACCCTTTTGTCTTGGCCTGGACTATTCGAAAGCTACAAATGCACAAGTTGTTAATTTATATATATATAAAAGCAGCTATGCGGATGTGTTACGGCATCCTTTCGTTTAAACAATAAAATACACATGAGCATGAATATTTTTTATTGCCAATAATCAAGTCAACCAATGAATTTTTCGGGAATGCAATTTTAAAATTTCTTTAAAAAATAAAAAATAAAGTGAACAATGAATTTTTGGCATTTTCAACGTGCTTGATCTTTGCAAAAGCATTGTCTTCCCACTCTCCTCGTTATATAATGAAGTGATCTTCTTTGCAAAAATATACACTTGTGGCCTGAATCAAATCTAATCTGATATCCCTTAAGCCAAGATGGTAGCTACCAACAATACAAATTACGACAGACAAAGTGAGCTGAAGGCTTTTGATGACACAAAGGAAGGTGTGAAAGGCCTTGTTGATGCTGGGGTAACTGAGGTTCCTAGAATTTTTCATCAACCACCAGATCAGTACATCATCAACAGCAACTTTGATTCAGAAGCTACGCAGTTTAGCATTCCACTCATTGACCTTGAAGGCCTTGAGTTTGATAGTCCAACGAAACGAAACGAGATTGTTGCGAAAGTTGGAGAGGCATCAGAGACTTGGGGCTTCTTTCAAATTTCTAACCATGGAATACCAGTTGGTGTTCTAGAGGAGATGAAGGATAGTGTACGTGGGTTTTTTGAGCAAGACACTCAAGTGAAGAAACAGTTTTACAATCGTGATCAGCTCAAACTTGTGGGCTACAATAGCAACTTTGATCTATACCGATCACCGGCGACTAATTGGAGGGATACTTTTAGGTGCCACATGGCTCCCAATCCTGCTAAGCCAGAAGACATGCCAGAAGTATTCAGGTATGTGACAAGGAAACTTATAATTCTCTGCTATAATTGGTCAGTTTATGATGATATCAATTATTTGATTTAAAGTCCATCCCTGAATTTGATGAGTTAATTAGATGATATGGTATACTTTGTCCAGCTTAATTTTAAGTTTAATGTACATTGATCTTGCTTCGGAATTGGATACGAACCACCCATCTGAGGTATATATGGATGGGTTGAAAGCATCACCAAACTAGTTGGTCTTTTGGATTAAGTCAATTGGTATTAAAGCAGGCCTAATTCCTTGTCTTCTATCGCCAGTGACAAGTCTATTGCGTGTCTGGGGCAGGGGTAAAATGTCCCAAACAAGAATCCCATATTGAATAAGAATGAGTTTGACGTGAGCTTTATACACGAGTAAGTAGGAAAAAACTCAGCCTCCAACAGTAGGCCATTTTCTTTTTCTAAACATAAAACAAAAGCCATTCAGCTTACCATTTTGGTTAAATGCCTCTCACTAGAATGTTTAATTGAATTATGTATATATGACAACTTCATGTGCTTTGCTGTTTTCATCTTTTGTAGAGACATACTCATTGAGTACTCCAAGCAAGTAATGAAATTGGGGAAGTTGCTGTTCGAGTTGCTGTCCGAGGCTCTTGGGCTAAAGCCAAGTTACTTGAATGACATAGATTGTGGTTTAGGGTTTTTGCTTGGAGGGCATTACTATCCCTCATGTCCACAGCCTGAGTTAACTATGGGGGCAAGCAAGCATGCTGACAATGTCTTCCTCACAGTCCTTCTGCAAGATCATATTGGTGGTCTCCAAGTTCTTCATCAGAACAAGTGGATTGATGTGCCCCCAATGCCTGGGGCTCTGGTGGTTAACATAGGAGATCTTCTACAGGCAAGTGCAACTTTTCTTCTTCTTCATCTCTTACTAGTATTGTATTAGAACATGACTCATATTCTTCCATCTGGTTTCCTAGTTTGGTTTTATTTTTAATAAATAAATAAATAAAATTTATGGTTGAGTTCTTTTGGGTTTGCAGCTTTTATCAAATGATAGATTCAAGAGTGTAGAGCACAGGGTATTGGCAAACCGCGTAGGTCCAAGAGTATCAGTTCCATGCTTCTTTACCACAGGTATGCTACCATTGGAAAGACTCTATGGACCCATCAAAGAGTTATTATCAGAAGACAACCCTCCAAAGTACAGGGAGACAACTGTAAGGGAATATACTGCCCACTTCAATGACAAAGGCCTTGATGGCACCTCTGCCTTAACTCATTTTAAGCTTTGAACTTGGAGATAGAGGAGCAGTGCAGCCCTGAACAAAATATTTAGCAGACACCATTTGTTTATTGTAGCTGCTCCAATTTCTTTTTTAAAATTTCATAAACTGTCTCTGTTGTGGTTTGCTAATAACCTTCCTGCACTTGTAAAATCATGCTTGCCAGCAAAAGCAGGTTTTTAAGAGTTATATGCCTGATGCAGGACATATGTCAAAGTTATAAAATAAGATATTTATCTGTCACTGTGGTTTGATAGAATCCTGTAAATCATGTTTGTGAACAGATTAGATGGAATCCTGTTACAAAAGCAGAATTTTTCAACTATGATGATATATTGAAAAGTCTTGAAGTTAATAAAATTTTATAATCAATATCACATGTCGGTACGCAAACACTAAATAACCCAAAATGAATATATTAATGTCATAATTTATTAAAATTACTTTTGTTCTATTTCAATTTTCAACAAATTACTTTTAAACAAATTTAGTCAAACAATATGGATAGAATATTTTACAGGCTATATTTCATTCTCCAAAAGAAGTTATTTATAGTACAAGGACGTAACCCTAATAGGGTCAAACTAGGAAACAAGATAAAAACCTAATTACACAATATCTGTACAAAAAGGAAAGAAATATAATCCTAATAAACTAGAAAATAAATATCATAATTAAGCTAGGATCTCGCTAACACTCCCCCTCAAGTTGGAGCAAAGATGTCACGCATGCCCAACTTGTCAAGCGAGTTGAGAAAGACCGTAGTAGACACAGCTTTCGTAAGAACATCTGCCAGTTGATACTCGAATGATATAAACAGAAAAGAAATAATTTCAGCATCCAACTTTTCTTTAACAAAATGTTAATCAACCTCTACGTGCTTTGTACGATCATGTTGCACGGGATTATGCGCAATTGCAATTGCAGCTTTATTATCACAATACAAATCCATGAGTTTCTGGGGTCCAAACCCAAGATCTCTCGACAATCTTATCAACCATAGTAACTCACACACACCTTGAGCTATCCCACGGTACTCGGCCTCGGCACTAGACATAGACACCACTTTTTGCTTTTTGCTCATCCAAGTAACAAGATTACCACCAACAAATGTGAAATACCCAGACGTAAACGTCTATCAGTGATTGAACCAACCCAATCAACATCCGTATACCCTTCCACATATGTATGACCATACTTGCAAAACATTAACCCTTTTCAGGAGTTACTTTCAGATACCTCAGTATGCGCATCACAGCACCCATACGATCTTCACTAGGAGAATGCATAAACTGACTCACTACACTCACTGCATATGCAATATCAGGACGTGTATGAGGTAAATAAATAAATTTCTCCACAAGTCGTTGATAACGCTCTTTATCTGTAGGGACTTGATCAAGATACAACCCCAACTTATGATTCTGTTCACTGGGTATCAATTGGTTTACAATCTAACATTCTAGTCTCTGCAAGTAAATCTAAAATATAAATTTTTTGAGACAGAAAGATACTATGTTTAGATCTGGCAACTTCAATCCCAAGAAAGTATTACAAATCACCCAATGATTTCATCTCAAACTCGGAAGCCAGATACTTCTGAAGATTTTGCATTTCTGCCTGATCATTTCTAGTCACAATCATATCATCAACATAAATAATTAAAGCTGTCAATTTACCTTTATGACGCTTTAGAAACAAAGTATGGTCTGAGTTACTCTGCACATACCCAAATTTCTTCATATATGCTGCAAATCTCCCAAACCACACTTTTGGAGACTGCTTCAATCCTTGTAAAGACTTCCGCAGCTTACACACAACACCCTCCTTTGAGGTTACAGGAATAACAGGAAGGAGATCCATGTAAATCTCCTCATTGAGGTCACCATGTAGAAACACATTTTTGACATCGAATTGTAATAAGGGCCAGTTGTGGTTAGTAGCCAGGGATAATAGTACACGCACAGTATTGAGCTTTGCTACTGGAGCAAAGGTCTCCAAATAATCAACTCCATAGGTCCGAGTATAACCTTTTGCTACCAATCTAGCCTTGTAACGGTCAATGGAACCATCAGCTTTATACTTCAAAGTAAACACCCATCTGCATCCAACAGCTTTCTTCCCTCGTGGTAAAGGAAGTAAATCCCATGTTTTATTCTTGTTCAAGACATCCATTTCAACATTTATGGCATCCATCCATTTGGGGTTAGATAAAGCATCATGCAGCTTAGTTGGCACACATACACTAAATAATTGACACAAATATGATGCATATGACTTAGACAAACGATGAGTTGACACACAGTGACTAATGAGATATTTAGACTTAGCATGTATATCATGAGAATATTGTACGTTAGGTTTCCCACAAGTGGTTCGTGGGAGGTAACTGATAAGTTGACACAAATAGATCATTAGAAATTACCTCACTTGATTCACTATCACGAGTAGATTGGGGCACTGGTAGGGCAGATGGGGGTATTGCATCAAACTCATCCATATAAGAATCACTGTCATTATTTTCAGATACAGGCGACTGGTCACTTGCTTCAGTGTGACCGGTCGTTTCGACACCGAGAGCACCTGCTTCTTCTCCAGATATGGGCTACTGGTCGAGTTCCAAAGGGCGATCAGTCATTTCTTCACAGGGACCACAAGTTTCATCTTCATATATGGGTGACCGATCACTTGCTTTAGTGCGACAAGTCGTTTCCTTCCTAAAAGCAGTATCTTCAAACACATATTCTCCAATCCAAGACTCTCCAATTTGCTCCCCCTCTCCCCTTGAATTGGAGAGGAAGGAGAGACATAATGGGGCACTTCTTCATGGAAAGTCACGTCCAAAGTAATATGCACCTTCTGGGTAGGTGGATGATAACACTTATAACCTTTCTAAGTAGAAGAGTAACCAATAAAAACACATCGTAGAGCACAAGGATCAAGTTTACTCATTTGATGAGAGTAGACATGAACATAGGCAACACACCCAAAAACTCTAGGGGCAACTTGAAGACTGAGACAGGGGAAACATGGTCACCAAACACATCATGTGGAGTCTTGAAATTAAGAACCCGGCTAGGAGTACGATTAATCAAATATGCAGCAGATAAAACAGCACGCCCCAAAGATGATGAGGAACAGACATGTCCAACATAAGGGAGCGGGCAACTTTAAGTAATTGACGATTCTTGCTTTCAGACACACCATTCTGCTGAGGAGTAAATGGGATTGTCGTTTGGTGAATAATACCTTGAGCAAGGAAGAAAGATGCTAAAGTGTTATTCACATATTCGCCTTCGTTATCAATCCGAAATACTTTGACCCCAGCATGAAACTGAGTAGACACCACAGTACAGAACTCTGGAAAGATGGAAGCAATATCATGTTTATTTTTCAACAAGAAAACCCAAGTGAGTCAGGTACAATCATCAATAAATGTTCGAACCAACGAAATCCGTTCGAAGTAACGCGAGCCAGACCTCACACATCAGAATGCATTAAATCAAAAGGCTTTGCAGCTTTACTGTCACTCAAAGGAAATACAGTGTGATGACTCTTGACCAAAATACATGTTTCACACTTAAAACTGGACTCATTACAAGAGCGGAATAAAGATGGAAACAGACGCTTAAGGTAGCCAAATGACTGGTGTCCCAAGCAACGATGCCATAACCAAATTTGTTGTTTGTCTTTGACACTGCAACTTTGAACAGTATTAACGACACGAGCACGACCTAGTGTAGAAGGCAATGTCAAATAATATAACCCCCCCTATCCCTTTACCATGCCCAATCGTCTCATGAGTCTTGAGATCCTGAAAAGAGTAATGCGTAAGATAGAAAGTAGCAGAAGCATTAAGTGTATCAAGTAGTCGACCAACATATAACAAGTTACAATGGATATTGGGAACTAGTAACGCACGAGACAAGGACAAAGTAGGAGTGAGAGAGATTGTGCCCTCACCAGTAATTGGAGAGGGCAAGCCATTAGCACTAGTTATGTATGGGTCACAGGTGTTACTAGACAACTCATCAAAAAATTTAGCATCATAAGTCATATGATCAGAAGCACTAGTGTCAATTATCCAAGTATTAGAGCCAGTACTTGGAATAGAATTGAAACACACAAATTTGTAGAGGCAGCAGCAACAGCACCAACAATGGAGTTATCATCTATGATTGCAGCATAAACTCAACAGATCACGACAGAGTATACAACGGAACACAACAGAGGCACAAATATGGCAGATGCAAGAAGACATGCACGAACACAGCAAAGTACACAACGGAACACAACAAAGACACAAATACGGCAGATGCACGCACACAGGATGGCACGAACACAGTAAAGGCATGAACACGACAACACAACACAAAAACCCAGTAGGGCACACACGACACAGGTAGAGAAAAAAAAATATGGGGATAGAACACGGGTGGGCACAATACACAGGTCACCAGAAAAGTTGGCTCTGATGCCAAGTCAAACAATATGGGTATAATATTTTTAGGTTATATTTCATTCTCCAAAAGAATGTATTTATAGTACAAGGATGTAACCCTAGTAGGGTCAAACTAGGAAACAAGATAAAAACTTAATTACACAATATTTGTACAAAAAGGAAAGAAATATAATCCTAATAAACTAGGAAATAAATATCGTAATTAAGCTAGGATCTCGCTAACAAATTTTACCTACTAGAATATCTGGACCCTTTTGTCTTGCTCTGCACTCTTCAAAACCAGCAAGTTCAACGAGGAGTTCATTTTTATAAGATTAGCTTGGAGGATGTGTTATGACATGCTTTAGTTTAAACCAGAAAATACACATAAGTCAAAGAATGAATATATTTTTGGCATTTTCAACTTTGCTATATGATCTTTATAATAAAGTGATCTTCTTTGCAAAATATGCGCTTCTGGTCTGAATCAAATCTAATCTGATATCCATTAGACCAAAATGGTAGCTACCAACACAAATGAGGTTCAAATAAATTATGACAGACAAAGTGACCTAAAAGCTTTTGATGACACCAAGGAAGGTGTTAAAGGCCTTGTTGATGCTGGTATAACTGAGGTTCCTAGGATTTTTCATCAACCACCACATGAGCACTTCATTGACAACACTTCTGATTCAGAAGCCACCCAAACCCAATTTAGCATTCCAGTCATAGACCTTGAAGGCCTTGCACTTGATAGTCCGACGAAACGAAAGGAGATTGTTGCAAAAGTTGGAGAGTCATCAGAGACTTGGGGCTTTTTCCAAATTGCCAATCATGGAATTCCTATTAGTGTTCTGGAGGAGATAAAGGATGGGGTGCGTGGTTTTTTTGAGCAAGACACTGAGGTGAAGAAAGAGCTTTACACTCGTGATTACTTCAGACCTGTGATCTATAATAGCAACTTTGATCTATATAAAGCACCAGCGACTAACTGGAGGGATACTTTTATCTGTTACATGGCTCCTTACGCAAAGAAGCCAGAAGACTTGCCTGAAGTCTGCAGGTATATGTCACAACGAAGCTTATATATAATTCTCTGCTAGAATTTGTAAGATTATTTGATGATATTAATTAGCTTGACAGCTTCATATGTGTTTAAACTTTGTAGAGACATTCTTATTGAGTACTCCAAGCAAATAATGAGGTTGGGGAAGTTGTTGGAGTTGTTGTCGGAGGCTCTTGGGCTGACACCAAGTCACTTGAATGACATAGATTGTAGTGAGGGCCTTGTGCTTCTGTGCCATTACTATCCTGCTTGTCCACAGCCAGAATTAACTTTGGGCACAAGCAAACATGCTGACAGTGACTTCCTCACAGTCCTTCTGCAAGATCATATTGGTGGCCTCCAAGTTCTTCACAAGAACAAGTGGATTGATGTGCCCCCAGTGCCTGGGGCTTTAGTGGTTAACGTTGGAGATCTTTTACAGGCAAGGAGAACAATTATTTTCTTCATCTTAACAAACTTGAAACTACAGTAGCTATAGTAACAATTATTGTAAATCACAAAAGTCCTTTGTTACTTTTGGCTTATTTCACCATCTAGTGATTAAAATTGAAGAAATTTTTTGGTGGTGCATATAGTATTATTGTCGTAGAATATGTGTCGAATACTTTGATTTAGTTTCCTACCTTGGGATGATGAACTCATTTCGGGTTGCAGCTTATATCAAATGAAAGATTCAAGAGCGCAGAGCACAGGGTACTGGCAAACCGTGTAGGTCCAAGAGTATCTGTTGCGAGCTTCTTCACCACAGGAATGTTACCATTGAAAAAACTCTATGGACCCATCAAGGAGCTATTATCAGAGGACAATCCTCCAAAGTACAGGGAGACAACTGTGAAGAACTATAATGCCCACGTCAATATCAAAGGCCTTGATGGAACTTCTGCCTTGAATCATTTCAAGCTCTGAACTTGGACACAGAGGAGGAGCACAATGAACAAATGATCACTACTAAATAACTTGAATGCATGATACTGAAAGGTTATTGCTTGTACGTGCATAATGCAAGTATAATCTGTTGCGGAATAAGATGGCTTCTCAGATTTTTATGATATTCTCTTGAAAAATCTTGTTTGCCAACAAAAGCAGAGTTTCAACTATAACCAGATTTAATGCAACGTAAGCCAATCTTAGAAAACCTGCAAGTTCACTGAGTTGTTCATTTTTCAGATGAAGCTACCCGTTCTTCCATCTCTTTGTTTACAACTCTCTGTTTTTTTTTTTACCAGCTATCTGTCTATACAATGTCTCTGTTTTCTCTGTTTCTAGTGAGAGAAGAAAAAAAAGAGACACCCATGATCAATTCAATCTACACTTTCCGAATTAATACAACTTTCAAAAAAAAGAAAAAAAGAGAGCACACACGCAAGATAAAAGAGAGCAGATAAACAAGGAAGAAATATCTGTGAAATCAATCTCAAGCTAGAAAATCCAGAAATTTGATATGGGAGAAAACTTGTTCTCTGTAGCTTCTTGAGCACACTTTCTCTACTGTCTTAGAATGCTAAATATGACAAGTAAAGACTGATTATACCACTAAGCCAAAACTAGGAAAGCCAAATGAGTACGTGGCTTCATCCTTTACAAAATAAAGTAGAATTAATACAACCAAAAATAAGACACGTTTCTGTCCAAAATGTTTCAAGACCTTTTTGACAGAAACTTATCTACACTATTACAACAAGGACATTAACATAATTTCAATAAAAGCATTATCCTTTGATATCAGCTGCCTTGGGACCACTTCTTATCCTTAGAGTTGGATCCATCCTCTTATCACCTTAAAGGCTACGCACTCTTCTGCTTTTTCTCTATATTCTGTTTGATCCTCAACCACCTTTTATGATCCTAAACCAAATTAAGAAAATGTTTGCAGAAGACGATCATGAACTCGAGGCTAACAGTGACCGCATGAGTGAGTTAAAAGCATTTGATGCGACAAAAGCTGGCGTCAAGGGACTGCTCGATGCAGGTCTCACAAAAATCCCAAGTATTTTCTACTCTTCATCACGACCAAGCTTCGACGAAAAGAAGCTGCAAAGTGATGATGTCCAGTTCAGTGTTCCAATCATTAATCTCAGAGGCATCCAAAACGACGCAGTTTCACGTGCCCGTGTCATAGAGAAAGTTCGACATGCAAGTGAGAAATGGGGTTTCTTTCAGGTGGTGAATCATGGAGTTCCTGTTGATATTTTGGATCAGATGATCCATGGCATACGCGGATTCCATGAGCAGGACAGTGAGCTTAAAAAAGAGTTCTATTCGAGGGACTTTGGGAAGAAGGTGTATTATATGTCCAACTATCATTTGTACCAATCTTCTGAAGCTAACTGGAGGGATACGTTTGTGTGTTATGTGGCTCCTGATCCACCCAAACAAGAAGAATTGCCATCCGTGTGCAGGTAAGCATGGCACTAGTCTAAGAAGACCTTTACTTTTTCCATATCTGCTTTAATTGATCATCATGCGTCTAAATAGAAGATGCTACAAATTTAACTCTCATATAATATGAGGGGTGATCTCTTGGGGTATGATCTCTTGGATATGAGGGATGTTCATTATTCTATCTATTTAGTGGAAAACTCATGAATTTTTCCGCACGGGGCGGGAAAATACAACTTCTTGTCTACCTTGGTCTTCTTAGGATTTCATCGAGCACATTGCCCACAATATTGAGATCATGTTTACTTATTAGAAATGAAGTTATGAATCAAGAAAGTTATGAATATGGGAGAATGTAGCATGACCACAGTTTTCTCATTTAAAAAAAAAATCATACAAAATTTTACCTGCAGGGCTAATTATGTGCATTTGTAGACTTTTACAAAGGCATGCTTTGATAACTTGATAAATGAAATTCATGAGCGCTCTTGATGACTTGGGGATGCAGAGAAATAGTGAATGAGTACTCAAAGCAAGTGATGGATTTGGGGTCTACTTTGTTTGAGCTGCTTTCCGAGGCTCTTGGGCTTAACCCAAACCAACTTGAGGACATGAATTGCGGTGAGGCGCTTCTTCATCTGGGCCACTACTACCCAGCATGCCCTGAACCAGAATTGACTATGGGCACTAGCAAGCACACTGATGGGTCCTTCATCACCATACTTTTACAAGACCAAGTGGGCGGTCTCCAAGTGTTACATGAGAATCAATGGGTTAATGTTCCTCCCAAGCAAGGATCTCTAGTTGTCAACATTGGAGACCTTATGCAGGTATGTTTTTTTTGTATATATTTTTATACAACTTACAAGCGATATTTGAGAGGGGGAAATCAAGTCTAGGACCTCGAGTGCATGAATAAATACTCTTAACCACTTGAACTACACTTAACGTCTTTTAATAAACTTAAAATCTTCTGTTGCTTTTGTGCAGCTAATCACAAATGACAAGTTTATTAGTGTGGATCATAGAGTTATAGCAAAGAATGTAGGTCCAAGAGTTACTGTGGCAAGTTTTTTCAGGCCATACGTTCTGACAGGGAATTCAAAAGTTTACGGACCAATCAAGGAATTGCTATCAGAAGATGTTCCCCAAATTTACCGAGAAACTGATGTTAGAGATTATATGAAGCATTACCTCTCAGAAGGTCTAAAAGGGACCTCCGCATTAGAACATTTCAAATTGTGAAGTAGATGTCACGGAGTTGCTAACTATTAAGTTATATTTGTCACTAAAACTGTGACTGTTCACCTTTTTTTTAATTAATAAATTTTATAAATAGCCGCATCAATTTCATTAATAAAAGGGCATTACAATCACATTTCAAGAACTATTGTTCACTTGATAAATAAACTTTTTTAATTGAAATAATGTCACATAATATATATTTTGGTCGTATGAAATAATATAATATGACCATATTAGTGGGCCGAACTAGATGAGACTTTTCTAATTAAAATAGATTATAATCATGTCTGTTGTTTGATGAGTCTAAAATGCACTGAACTCGAGTCCTTTGCCAATCTCACCGGAGTCTTCTATCAAATGCAGAGGCAATGGAGGCCTTGAATCACAACGTCAACCTAATCAAACCATTAGAGAAATTCCCAGCAACGCACTCTCTTCGGGACGAAATTCACAAGCTTAAAGCTTCTATAAGAAAAAGTGAAGAGGGTTCCCTTTAAAAATCAACGTGGAGTTGAAAACGAAAGATGTGCTTAAAAAATGAGGTTCGAGGGTCGAAAGAGAGAGACAAGTTCTTATTAAAGTGCTTAAAACCCAAGCAACTTGGGTTTCTCAAAATTGGGCCCAGTCTAGTGCAGCTTTAGTGGCATTCCAAACAACTCATAGGAGTCTAGCCCAATCCAATACTCAAAATCCAATCCTTAATCAATTCAGTCTAATCCACCAAACATGACCTATATGTTAGATAATCTCATCTCCACTCCTCGCCATCTCCACCCCCAGGATGTGGCAAGTACTAATACCATTACAATCTTCTGAAGGCTGAAATATAAAAGTTATATGATTTGCAGGTTGAAATACAAGTCATAATGACCTTTTATAGGTAATAACATACTTATAAATTTTTTAACTAAGCATTTCATTTTAAATGGATAAAACAAGAACGTTATGCAACCAACAATAGATGTGAGTTATGTTAGTTGGTTAAGGTAGTGTGCACATTCTTTTGCACCTGAATTTGATTCATCTCCTTGTACATTAGAGTAATTTAGAATATCGTCTTGTAAAAAATAAAAAATAAAAAGTTATGCAACTAATATGATTAAAAATTAATCGATATTTTCTCTACCTAATAAAAAGAAACTGTTGGCAGGCTGCACGAGCAATAGAACGGTCCAAGAGACTAACGACGGACCAAAAGAATACCTGGGGAATAATTTTCGTGGAACTTATTTGAAACTTGGTTGAAAGAGAAAATTCGTCTCTGACAATAACTTACTGTTAGGTTTTCTTATAGTCCAATATCTCAGCTTGTGCATTTAATCTGAAGGAAAAGTCATAAAGTTGAGTAGTGGCATGTAGTAACAAATTGGCTGCTGGCACAGTGGCACCTTCTAATTGAATGGTCAAAGTTACTGGTCACTGGCTGAAATTGCAATTGCCACATGTTATAAGTGAATAATTTTATAAGATTGTTTGAAAATATATTGCTGCGGGGAAAAGATTTCTTGGTACCAGGCTGGTTTTGTTTGGTCGATATTATTATTATAACCAATAATTCTTCTAATACGTGTATTTATCTCATGCATATCGTATAAACAATTTGCAGAAGTCGATTTTTAGGACATTCTTCTCACCATCATTATGCCAGGAAGAACGAGACTAGGGATGACATAAATTCTTGTCAAGTTTTTGACCCTAATATATATATATATATATTAGAGTTTGGATGAGAAAGTTTCTGGCGTCTTGAGAGTTTGGGTGGGTATGCTTTTGTGTGTGTCTCCATGAGGGTTTGAACATAAAATTACTGGTCTGCAAATAAAGTCCCTTTTCAACTAAGCTACACTCGTTAACGCTTTTGTGTTTGTTCTCTATTACATTATGCTTGTGCATTCATATGTTTTGGGGATCGTTACATTCCTACGCGTATGACATGAGTTTTCCTGAAGCAATTTCACGTTAAGGTGGATGTTTCACGCAACCATTCAAGTTTCTGTAAGTACGACCAGGACTGAACACAATAATCTTCCTGTATATTAAATATTATATACCCGATACTACTTAGGCAGTTATTTTCTGAATTATGAATTGATTAACCGTTGCATTCTAGATCTTCAACCATTTCACTATTCTACATAGGGACTAGATGAAGTATAAATAATTGAGTATAAATAATTGAAGTAAATGAGTGTGGGCGCGCGATGCATGTTATCCGGCTTACGAATTTTTTTTTTTTCTTTTCATTCTTTGTATTTTGTTGACTAGAACCAGATGATCAAATAATGTTATGTGTTTCAATTCTTTAAGTATCCCTATTACTTTTTATTGTCTAATTTTGTTGTGCTGGCTTTGTTTAACAGATTATTTTTTGCAAATCTTGGTAACTTAATTTACATAAAAATTAGAAAAATTTATATGGTACATTTACTCACTAAATAATTATTAATATACATACATATACCCCCCTTTTTTTTTTTTTTTTTTTTTTTTTTTTTTTTTTTTGTGGGGGGTGGGGGGAGAATTTACCTATGCAATCTAAGTAAATTAGTATACTTACAAATTGTTGAAATTCGTAGGATGGATGGGTCCTGTCTTCCTATAAAAAAGGAAAAAAAAAAAAAAAAAAAAAAAAAAAAAACGAACATTTATGTATACAATTTAGGTAAATTTGTCAAACTTATCGGTATACTAATTAAACTAGTCTAAACAATTACAAAAAATATATTGGCTTAGTTATTGTGGTAAATTTACAAAGTTTTTTTGGGGGTCAGAAAATGTTGTCATCGCTGATCAAACTGAATGCCCATTATTAGAGATTAAAGAATAGCTAAAATGTGAGGGATTTCAAAGGCATGAGTTGTAAACAATTTATAATACATGTTTGATCATTCCTGGCATTGAATTCAGACATTGGGATGAATATGACTTATCTTCTCGGGAATTCCTGTGGAGCCTATAAATACTGCTGCACATTGTTGGAGAAAAGCACTAATTAGCTCCTCCTCCTACAAACTTCCTTGAGCTTTGTTCCCCATCATCCTCCTATACATCTCCTTCTGCTTCTACTTTCTAATTAGCGAAGGGCTTTTACAGTTTTATACTTAAGAGTCTATTTGTTAATCACGTACATTGTTTGATAATAAAAAAAAAAAAAAAAACCAGAGCAGATGAGAGGCTGGGAAGTGGTGCCAAACTCAGTATCCCAACCATTGATCTTAAGGGCATCGATAGCAACTCAGTTTTACGAACTGAAGTTGTCGAGAAAATTCGAGATGCATGTGAGAACTGGGGTTTCTTTCAAGTTCAAAACGGAATTCCTGTTGAAGTTTTGGAGAGGATGGTGGATGGGATACGTGAGTTCCATGAGAAGGAGAATGAGCTTAAGAAACAGTTGTGTTCAAACTCAACGGATTCTGGGAACAAGGAGCAGTTTATGTCCAACAATCGCTTTTTCAAATCTTCACAAGGAAACTCGAGGGATTCGTTTGTGTGCTATATGGCTCCTGATCCAACCAAACCAGCAGACGAATTACCCTTAGTGTGCAGGTATGCATGGCGCTACATATCAAATAAATTTTTATATATGTAATATTATAATACACTCTAGTCTAACCATGCATTTAGAGTTGGAGAAATTTTCTTTGTGGTGGTAACATGGTGTGTACGTCAAAAAATTTACGTTGGCATCCCATATTGTTTAGAGATGGATATGTAATCCGTGGTTCTGATTTACATAGTCTACCCGGTCTCTACATGCAAGATAATAGATGTCTTGTGAAAAATAATTTCCTTATAATACATAACTTCATGGAAGTTGATCCTCTTTTATACATAAACTAAAATATGTACATGACTTCCCCTGCATGGTTAGTTTATAATTTGCACCTTTTAGTGTTTTACCATTACTTTCATCATTCGGTAAATGAAATTGATGAGTGACTTGATGACTTCGAGTTGCAGAGATATAGTGAATGAGTACTCAAAGCTAGTGAAGGATTTGGGATTTACTTTGTTTGAGTTGCTTTCTGAGGCTCTTGGGCTTAAGCCAAACCAACTTAAGGACGCGTACATGGACTCTGTTGAGGGGCTTTCTATTATGGGTCACTACTATCCACCATGTCCTGAAACAAAATTGACTATGGGCACCGGCAAGCACACTGATGGCTGCTTCATCACCGTTCTTTTACAAGATCAAGTGGGTGGCCTCCAAGTTTTGTATGAGGATCAATGGATTGATGTTCGCCCCATCCGTGGAGCTCTTGTCGTCAACGTTGGAGACCTTCTGCAGGCAAGCTCATTAGTACAATTAATAGCCAAATTTTTCATTGCATGAAATCTATCAATACCAAATAATAAAAAAGATTATATATATGAAGTTTTAATAAACTTATGTGTTGTTTTTGTGCAGCTCATCTCAAATGACAAGTTTATTAGTGTTAACCACAGAGTTATCGCTCAGAGTGTTGGCCCGAGAGTTTCTGTGCCAACCTTTTTTAGACCACATGCAGAAAATCCGAAAGCTTATGGACCAATCAAGGAGTTGTTATCAGAAGAAAATCCCCAAATCTATCGGGAGACTAATGTTAAAGATTATCTGAAGCACTACCTCTCAGAACTGGTAAAGGGGAACTCCGCATTAGATAATTTCAAGCTATGAAGGATAATAAAAGCGCTTTGCTTTTGGTTCTAGGTACCATTGTTAGTTTCTGTGTCATCGTGTGGCTCTGTTGGCTGCAGGCTGTGCCTCTGGTCCTATGGCTAGGTTTTTTATTTTTCAGTGTCCTTTTGCTTTTTATGTTAGGCCCATTTGTTTGGTCGTCTTATTTGTCGTCTCAACTTGTCTGTCTGAGTCAATTATTGTTATGACGTGTATGCTCTTCTAATAAAAGTACTTTTGGAAACAAAGAAGATATATAGTACAACTTTCTTGTAGCGTGTGATGACATCAGTTTTCTAATAAGAGTAGGCCGATGCTAAAGTTTCTTATGTGGGTCAAACAG